TTCTATGTGCCATGGTTGCGCTGTCCACGCGTATGATTTGGCCGAGTCCAAACTACAACAAAGGTTTAGACCCTCACAGGCCCAATTTGAACAAGCATTCATTACATCAGTGCTGTTGACAGAACGCATATCAAAGTAGTACTACCGCGGCATAAGCGTATACACTTCATAGGACGAAAAGGCGGGCCGACACAGAATGTGTTGGCCGCATGCAATTTCAATTATGTTTCACATTCGTCCTAGCAGGGCCCACTAGGAATATCCACGATGCTAAAATCTTCGCTCGTGCTATTCACTTGTCGGGCCCAAGGAAGTACTATTAGGTAGACACCGGATTTGCGCATTGGCCTGGGTATATGGCACTGTACAAAGGGTCGAACATCATGTATTACCTCCAACAGTTTCATGATGAGCGAACGGGATGGCATCATTGCTTTCGTAATGCTCAAGAGAAGTTTAACTTCAGATACTCGTCCTGCAGAAACATTATAGAACGTGCATTCGGGGTGTGGAAACAAAGATGAAAAACCTTCGTTGTAGTTTAGACTCGGCCGAATCATACGTGCGGACAGCGCAACCATTGCACGTAGAACCTCTTTCATGCAGTGGCACATGGTTTGTAGCGAATGGTTGAATAGCATTGTCATTTGCCAATATCCCTTTCCGTGTGCGAGTATGCACATGAACATGCCAATTTGCTCATAGATGTCGGCCTGCTAACTACTTCAAAGGCCATGCCCGTCGTGCAATACATGTGTAAAATGTCGCAGCATTGGTGGTACATACAAAATTCTTGATAGCACATATGACCATTCTCGCTCATTGCCTTTAGCATGAACATGTGACCCTTTCTTGCGAATGGAAATCGTTGGATACGATGATACTATCTTCGATAGTATTGATGTGTGTCGCTCTCAGGGATTCTACGATGTGTAACCCATGCCGTTGCATCGGCTGCCAAATGGTTCAGAAAATGCCTTCGTCCATGTCTTCTTCCTTGTCGGATCCCGATAGTAGAACGCAGTTGAAGTTAAGATCATCTGTATTACCAAACATTTGGACTTCTCAGAATATAACAACCTTTGTGTGTTAAAAACTTGCAAATAATTATAAAATATCATAGCCTCACAACTCCTCACACTTTTCCTTGCTGCCTTTCCCATACGAATTTATAGAACTTGTGCATGCATGGATACCACATCACATGCACTTATTCCCTGGTGCCTGCAAGTTGAGAAATCTGTGGCCTTACAGTGTTCACACACCCCCATTTTGCCCTCTGAAGAGTGAGCCTACGGCCATAGGTTTTTTGCCATTAAAAGTCTTCATTTTTTATAAGTGATGTGACAAGTTGAGGAAGGTTGAAAAAATGTGAATCTGTCAAACTTGTTTTTCCCTTCGTTTAGGCCTACATTTGTCTATAAAAGAACGTGAAATATTTGTGCAATATACAGACAATAATTAAGTGCAACATGCGAGAATAGTTTCAACAGCATAGTAAAAATTAACACGCATAAATTACAATGCTTAGACGATAGTGCATAAAAAAAGATAGTTTTCACACTGATTTAAGAGGAAAATAAAAGACAATACAATAACCGGCACAATTACTTCCCTCGATCATTAAATATCCACTCGATCCACTAAAATTTCTCAGTCATGTCCTTTATGACGATGAGCATGTCTCGGTAACGCTTTTGTGCAAGAAGTGCGCATGGAAAAAAGTACAAAGATGTCCGCCGCTCTAGCCGACTTGTCGCCAACTCCTCAATGCAGGCAACACCAACGCTTTCGTTCGAAGCCATCATCATGTAAATCTTCGCCACCACTTCCTTTGTGGTACTCGTGGCACGGTCAACTGAGAAAGATAGTTCACGAGCAGAGATTTTTTTTCTTCCAACCATGTCGCTTTCCTTCAAAAGATTTTCGTTTACCGCCACTTTTGGTGGTGGAAATGTTCATGCCAACCTCGCCATGTGTTTGTTCAATTTCGCCGCTTGAACCACTACTCTCACTGTCGATCGGGATCACATCCCTATCATCTTCAAACTCATTGTCCTCGTACAGGCTAAATCCTATTCTGCACAACTTAGTGGGAGTGAAGGCATACTTCTCTTCATCGTAGCTGTCTCCGAATAGCTGACGGTAACGAATATAGATCTCGTTCACGTCCTTGTCCTTGAAGTTTTTGTAGTCTTTGTTCTCCTGCAAAGCACGAGTTGAGGATTTAGAGTATCAGTATGCAATGAAATTTGGAATGCGTCAATAAAAATAAAAGGCGAGATATGAGAATGTACAAAAAAATTTGCGTAAAACACTTGGTGCCACACTTGTGCTTCGACAGGAGGAGAAACAAGCTTACCACTCTTCAAACAAATTTGACGAATTTTTTTTTATTTTCGAAAATCAGTATATAGGTAGATACCTAATTTCATATTCTGATGAGCAGTAAATAACGAAGACTATTCCTATTTTGTTTAAGCGTATACAACATTGCATTGAGCATCTTCCCCAAATGCTCACAAAAATCATAGTGTAAGCCATTTCACAAAAAAAATAACAACACTTACAAGTGATATATACAATATGCTGATGTGCCAAGATGGAAATATTGTTTGATGTCAACTCAAAAAATCAACCATAACACTTTTGGGGAGTTTTTATAGGTAATTTGAAATGTACCTTTCCCCAAACCGAAGCCCGGCAGTCATAATGTTTTTGACGAATTGTGCTTCGGTCGGAGTTTTGACCCAGCCTTGTTTGACTTTCTAGTGTAGTGCAACGAAGAAGATAATGAACATTGGATAAGGATACTGTTGATTCACGCGAATACTGGTTAATTGATAATAGAAACTAAAAAAATTAATCCATAACAATGACGTTATTCAATTTGATCACGTCGTCTGAGTGTCACATTCCAACGCATTAAGCATACAACTGAAAAAGGTATGAAGTCCATCTTTATGAGGAAGAAAAAATGACTAATTAAGGGAAAGCAATTACCAACCTATTTCCATTTTCCAGGGAATTCCATTTCCACAGCAGATGTCATGTAACATCTATACACATTAATTGGTAATTATTCATTTCAGTAGTTCATTGCTAAATTGATGTCGGTAGATTTTAGGTGCTATCACTTAACAAAGAAAAACGGTCCATTTTGTTGTTCTCAGTAGTTTTCGCATTGATTTGAAATGGAAGACAATGATAATTCGTCATGAATTTGAGGCTGGGCCCAAAACGTAAAGTTGTGAGATGTTACTTTAAGCTTCCGGTTCCACCATTCGTCTGATGCGATAATGTGATCGGTAGCTTTGTTGTACTCCACCCCGTTGTTGTTCACAAGCTCCGACAGACATATGTGGGTTCGACACATTGCGTCCCAATGGTTGCGCAGTTGCTGCTTGCTCTAGTTGTGGTCGATGACAGAGTTGAAGAGGGCGGACACGCGACCCCAGTAGTGTTTGGTGAAAAATCGACCGTTCCGATGCCTCTCGATAATTGCAGTTTCACAGCCTGCCATGAAGGCTCAGGTCGCGTCCGGGTCCCAGAGCACGCAAGATTTCGAGCTCGATGCCCGTGCCATCTCAGTTGCAGTGGTAGACGCGCTTCGTTGACCAGCTCCCGGCTGCAAAGTAGAAGATTTCCTTAGCATTGAGGAAAACCGATTGGAAATGCTGGAGACAAAGGGAGGAAGTGGGAGTACTTGTAGTCCGACAAGTACCATTTTCGGTGGGTGGAAAAGACGTGCGTCGGGGATGTTGTGCAGGCGAGAGATTCCAAAGATGAGGTCAACGTCGAGGCCCTGTTCTCGCACTCTTCTTTGCCGCGACTGTCACAACTGTTGAAGTCGACCCCTGTGTGTTTGGAAGACTTCATTGTTGTTTGAGTCGGTTATGGTGATGTCGTCGGTTTCAGCAAAAAGGGGAGAGAGAGAGAGAAAGTTAGTTTGTTGGTGAGAGGGGCAATTGGAGAAAAATGAAAGTGTAGGCGCATGTATACCATCACATAATGTGTCAGAGATGGGACTCCAAACGGTCGAAAAATGAATTAATGGGGAAAAAGAATGGCTACCAAACGGCCCCTAAGCCATTAATAATATTTATTTTACAATATTACCACTATAAAATGTTAAATCTTAAGACTTCATAAGTTTAATATTCCATTTATTTTAATTGAACCCTTGGCAAGCTTGCTCTATAGCTCAGCCACAAATCCTCATGACCCAACTAATCTTGAAATTTTTAATGAAAAGAAATATTCCCAACAGAATTTGCAATCAAAAATAAATATCATAATATTGAAGGAAAATTACAACAACCCATGCTACCATTTCATTGAGAGCAATCAATAGTCTGTACATTTCTATGCAGGGATCAAGAAGTCTAAAGGAATCTCGCATTTCATTTCGATGTAGGATGTGCAGATCAATTAGCATTTGGTTCAATTTACAATATATTTTGACTATAATTTAATTATTTTTAACTTAAGTGATGCTTAACAATTCCCATTTAATATGAATCAAAAAGGTAAAACTGGCCGGATTTACATAATTGTTTCAAGTTTATTGGCGAAATATGTTATAGAAAACAAATATTGAGAGGTTTCTGTATTTTTTTGAAATAATGTGCAGTATTTTTATATTTGCTGTAAATAATTTATTTCGTTAATGAAAATTAAAAGTAAGTGGATTACTTATTTTACATGTAACCTTTTTCTGTGTTGAATGAAGAAAAGTAAATATTTAATTTAAATATGTTTGTTCTCTTTACTATTAAAAATGAAAGAGTTAAAAAAAAAAAGGGTATGGGGATGAGATTTTTCTCTTGTAAACTTCTTTTTGTTATATTGAATTATCGCATCAATGGACGAGGATGTAATCTTACATTGAGAGGAACATTTGTAAGCATTGTCTGTTTTTTATGTCTTTATTTTTTTATTACGAATTTATTTTCTTGGTCGTATAAAATTAGGGTTTCTATTTCTTAGCATACAACTAATAATGCTCGAACACTGTAAATAACCATTGCTTAGATTGTAGGGAACAACAAGTGATAGCATTACAACTTGGTTTCAAACTCCAACAAAATTAGCAAAAATCTCATTCATCTGCAATTTGGACAATCTTCTTCCCAATATTATCCCCACGAAAGAGTCCTATGAAAGCAGATGGTACATTTTCGAGACCATAAGAAATGTCCGTAAGGGCCTTCATTTTACCAGTTCGAAGGTTCTCCATCATCGTTGAAAGGAAATCTGGATACAGTTTCATGAAATCGTTAGCCAAAAATCCTTGGATTGTGATCCTCTTGTACACAACATCCAGCATGTTTGGTGCAGCTCTCTTGCCATCGTTCGTGTATTCGGAAATTATCCCGCACACAGCAACTCGACCATATGTATTCATGTTGTCAACGGCTGCTTCAAGCATCTCTCCTCCGACATTATCGAAATATATGTCTATACCATCAGGGAAGTACCTGCGTTAACAAGACGTCGTATGTATTTGTAGAATTTCTAATGATACGTTTGCACACTAGATTGAATAAGACCGAACGTGAAAACTATAAATTGTATCACATCTTTTGTAGATCTTGTCAACTCATGTTCCTTTTCATGTGTCATATATGTTCTAAGAGTCTATTGGAAACTTCAATGAAATTTCGCATATGCTCAATTGGACAATACTCGATAAGATTAACGGAAAAAAATATGTAACAATTTTATTTCTAGTCTAATGTTGTGCGACACCAAAGATGATTTGACGAGATCTTTAAAATGGACTAAAGTGAATAGTATTAGAAAAGAGAGGCATGTGACAATTTGTCAATTGTTTCAGAGTGCACAAAATGTGTCCACAACAAGACACACTATTGCTAAATCTAGTTTTTGTCATTCTCAAATGCCACGATTAATTATAAGACTACTTGTAACGTTACTTGCGTAATCTTCAAAAACATATTTGGTACGTTGTACTAGACAACAATGAGAAAGAGAAACAAGCTACAAAATTTGTCTCTTGTAATGTCAAATCATGTCAAATTTCGTATATAAAATCGGAAAATCTAACCTCTTGAGAGCTGACTTAAGATCAGTTTCCTCCTTGTAGTTGAATGCATCATCAAAACCAAGCTCTTGCTTCAGCAAATCAACCTATAATTTAATAAACATTTTAGTTATCTACTTAGAGAAATTTTAATGAAAAGAGGGCAACAAAGGTGATTAAAGAAAAAATACCTTTTTACGAGTACCAGCACAGCCAACAACGTAGCAGCCAAAGAGCTTAGCATACTGTCCAACCAAACATCCTACGGATCCAGATGCAGCAGACACAAACACTGTCTCACCCTTTCTAGGTTTGCACACTTCAAAAAATCCTCCATAGGCACTAAGTCCACTAAATCCTGTGAAATAAATTATACGATTATGTTGAAAGATGTTCAAGTTGTGGATCATAATTATTGTCACTTCGCAGAGTTGGTCGTGAATCAACCTCCTCGATGAGATCGCCGTAGGGGTTGAAAGGGGACCAAGACGCCCCCCCTCCTTGGGATGCAGGGGAAAGTCCCCCGGACCATAATTTCATTAAGGATTGTTTAAGATATTTATATTCTTATAAAATTTTATTAAGTATAATTTATTTTATAATTATGAAGTCGTCCTTAAGCTTTATTATTATCATAAAAAAGAGAAAGAAATGTTAGAAAATGTATGGCTTTCTTTTGAAAACATTTTTCACCAGTGAATTACTGCAGTGCGGGAGATTACGCAGTCTCACATTGAGGCGAACATCTATAAATTTTGTATGTTCTTGAAAGTTTATTTTTCTTTTTTCAAATTGAACGCTCACGATGAAATAAAATTAAAATTTATAATTCTCAACAAAAGATTTAATGGCTATTCTAGGCGATGTTTTAGAACAGATAGCACGAGAGAAATCCATTAATAAAAAACAAAATTTCTTTTACTTGGTTAAGTTACATACGAATTTTGAGGTAATGTTCGAGTACTCCTAGGATACATGAAAAATATACAGTGCTGTGTACGTAGATATATCACGCTGTTAACTAAAATAATTCCGATTATTTTTTGCATTTAAATACTCCGTTGATGAAAACCATAACACACAAGAGGATGAATGCACGTCTCGCAAGGGAAAAAAAATAATTAGAAACATTATGAGAAAAAGAGAATAATTTTAGAAAGGAAAAGGGTAGAGAGAGTGAGGGGCAACAACAATTTAATAAATAAATAAATAATTTGAAATGATTTCTACGTGAATAAAATTAAGAAAATTGTACATAATAGATGTCACAGAGGAATATTCTGGACAAGTTAATTTTGGAAAGACATCACAACTAACGAAGTCTTTTGACATGAATTTATAATGCGTGTTAGGTGGATATTTTATGTGATTTCATACTATTGGCTTCTCCTGATAAGGAATCCATCTATCGCGTATAGGAGAATATTTGGACACTTTGTAGTTATATACGACTTTCGAAGGAAACAAACAAACAATTCACATATTTCTATTTCTTAATCATGTCCAGTTCAACATATCAAATATGTCTTAACGTCTCAAGAAGCACATCAAGTGACAAACAAAAAAAATATTTTACATTGAAATTAAACGTGTTATGACGGCACGCACATCATCAAATAAAGAGAGAGTATTGAGATTAGAGACACTTACCAAGAGTTCCTACATGGTGAGGCAAGGGCAAACCCATGGGATCCAACTTATTTAAGAGTGCACCTTCTTTCACAATGGTGTATTCTCCCCATGTCAGAAGCCCAACAACCAAGTCACCCTTTTCAAAATCAGGCTTGTCAGATTCCACTACTCTTCCCACACCATATGTATCAATGGCCTATCAATGATCAAAGAAACTTCTGAATCTCCATGAACAAGTTTAAGGAATTGAATAAATTGGATAGAACAATCAACAAGTTTAATTGTGTTCAGTTTAGTATAGTTTAGCACATCAAGAAATGCCTAAAGGTCTAGCCGGCGAAATTGATAACGAACCTACTATTATCCTCGTAGTAGCAAGGATGGATCCAGAATTGGATCCAGGACCGGATTATAAAATTTCAAATCGGGCTGCTATGCAGGAAAAGAATTTTACACATAAAAAACTAGATTTTTTTTAATTATTATTATTATTATTATTATTTTAACATTGAAAAATACCTTTGGACCTTAGTTGGGGGGGGGGGACCCTCCAAAATCCGTCTATGCGTAGTAGTCAACTCGTTCTTGATAGATCCGATTGCATGTTCTTAATCTGGAGTATAATAATTGTGTCGATTGATTTTTACTTGCACTTTAATAATGACTTGACCAATCTCTATTTATTGGTATGAACAAGATATGATCTTTTGGGAATTCGTCAAGTACATATTTGGTATGCAGAATAAGTTATTGTCAAGTTCTATTCAATTTTCCTCCCGAACATGTCATAAATGCCTAAAAATCAGTGCAACCACGAAATTCGAAACTTGTTCATTCTATTCATCTCCCTTCCCCTCTATTGCAAATAAAATGAATAATATTGAAGACGGAAAACAGAAGTTAAAATCTGATCAATTGTATCGATAGTTTTGATAACTTACCTCGCCTGGAATTATGGTGGAAGCGAAATTTATAGCCGATTGAGACGAACTTTGGCTCTTCATACGGTTGAGTTGATAAGGGTCAATTGATACATACAGATTCTTCACAAGTACTTGATTTGTACCAACCCCAATGGATAAAGAAAGTGTTTCGGTCTTGATTTCGAACTCAGACTCTTGAGGGAATCCATCTATGGAAGCCTTAATGACTATGAATCTGTTCATCACTTCCATTTTTACTCCCAAGAATTTGAACTGAGAACTAATGAGAAGAAGAATTTTGGTGGGGGAATATTAATAAGAAGTGTTTACAGAATCTTCACAGTTATTAATGTGTCTGTACTAATCATTGTAATTAACGAAAAACTTAAATGATAGTGACTTTATGTTAGATAACAAAGAGGTAAGAGAGAGGACGGCAACATGTATGGGGCTTGTATGGCTAAGCTTTTATTAAAAAATCAAAGGTCTGATCAATTATTGACTAATTTTTTAAAGGGCAAATGGGTGACTCTACATTTTTCATATAAAATTACAATAAAAGAATTAAATTAAAAACCAATCATCTCCACCCACCCCCAAACCCCCCCATCCTTGTGCGAATGCCAAATCTATAGTGGTGGTGACTTACTTGTGCATTTGATGGGTTTTTATTTTCTTGCTCCCGGAAACCAGTTCACACAAGTAAATGAACTAGGCATTTGATGGGTTTTTACCGATGGGCAAAGAAGGGCTTTTATTTTCTTTCTCCCAGCTTTTATTGATTGGTTTTTGGAGATTGAGGAAAATTGGCGGTGGATGAAGTTGGAAGTTGTGACCAAAGGTTTTAGGGGTCTGATGAGGGAGTTGATGGAGTGTTAGAGAAGATGAATTGTGTTTTAGTGACTGGAGGTTTTTTGGAGAGTGAGGAAAATGAGTTGCAGAGCTTGAAATCAGCTTTTAGGCCATTCGATTTTATGAGGAAATACTGAACTCGTGTCTGGTGAGATTTCGGTGAAGCTTCCGACGAGGATGAGGAAGTCAGGGAGATTCCCATTTTTTAGTTTATCGGCATATACTGAACTTTTTTTATTTTTTTTGTTGGAGGGGGGTTTGAAGACAATAGGGTTCTTTTTTATTTTTATTTAATTCTTTTATTTTAATTTTTTTATGTGACAAATGTTACCCATTTGTCCTTTAAAAATTAGTCAACAATTAGTCATGCTTTTGATTTTTGGTTAGCTAACAGTCAAACTAACGATTTCTATCAATTTGGACTTCAGGCGTGAGTTTTTGAAATGTTTGCTACTGCAGATGCTACAAAGTAAAGGTTTTGATCAAATCTATATAAAAGTGAAATGTTTGTTACTATAACTACAATTTTGGGTAATTGGCACAAAACGTCCTTACATTTCTAGTATATTGTGAAAAACGTTCATACCTTTAATTTTTTGACATTTTTGCCCCCTATTTCCACATTTCTTTGTGTCGAAGGTCCTTTTCACCATTTTTTGGATGTAACATGACCAATATGCCCTCCTCTTTAAATAAAAGAAAAAAGAAAAGAAAAGAAAAAATTGCAACTATAGTCGAAACTTCTAAAAAAGTGCAAATGCCCTCCCTCCCTCCCTCCCTCCCTCCCAAAAAAAACTTCAACTTCTTCCCACACCTCACCCCCACGCCATCGCCACTTGCCGGCCATTTTCAGCAACCTTTCAGTCAGCTTGCTCGTCGGACCAACATACTAACTTGAATCCCTCACTTTTCTCTTCGCAACCCACCCAAACACTGGCCGAAAATCTAAAGAAATTGGCTGAAAAATCGCTCAAAAATAGGCTGCCCACGCAACTTCAATAGCAAAATTGACAAATTCAACTCCATTTTTCGACGCTGACATCATGATCGACGACGATGGACCACCTCACCTAGCACCGCCTCTTCAAGGAGAACCTAATGAACCTATGGGTCATCGTCAATTTTAACCAAAAGTTGTAGAACCAGGCGATTTCTTTAACAGCGAAATTGACAAATTCAAACACATTTTTGGTCGCCGGTGTCACGATTGACGATCGCCGACCACCCCTTCTAGCACCGCCTCTTCAAGGCGAACTTAATGAACCTATGGGTCGTCGTCATTTTTGGCCAGAAATTTTAGAAACAGCTTCGACAGTTCGTACACAAAGAAACTCGATCGATCCCTTTTCGATTGATGATGCTACAGGGCTTCAATCCATCAATTCTAGCATGTAATCGTCAAATAATGTTGTCACAACTATGGGTCCTCCATCAATTGCATCAATTCATCAACCAAATGATCAATTTTCAAGATTGAACTCAAGAACTACCAACTGAATGCAAACTCCGATTTTCTGGCTATAGATTTTGATTTTCAGCTTTGTTTGATGATATGAAAACATCTATAGGAACGCAATGAGGAGCATAATCGACTGGAGGATGGGTGTACCATGGGTGTCGTCGAAAATGGAGTTTTCCGCCTCCAATTTTGGCTGGTTCAAGTTACGTGAGCAATCAATTTTGGCATAATTTTTTGGCCAATTCCTTTAAATTTTCGGCTAGTGGTTGGATGGGTTGCGAAGAGAGAAGTGAGGGCTTCAAGTTGGTATGTTGGTTCAGCTGCAAAGCTGACCGAAAGGTAGCTGAAAATAGCCAGCAAGTGGCGGTGGTGTGGGGGTGAGGTGTGGGAAGAATGTAAAGTTTGGGGGGGTGGGGGGCATTTGCACTTTTTTAAAAGTTTCGCCTATAGTTGCAATTTTTTCTTTTCTTTTCTTTTATTTAAAGAGAAGGGCATATTGATCATTTTACATCAAAAAAACAGTGAAAAGGACTTTCGACCCAAAGAAAGGTGGAAATAGGGATAAAAATGTCAAAAAAAATAAAAGGTATGGACGTTTTCCACAATACACTCGAAAGATAGGGACGTTTTGTGTCTATTACCCCTACAATTTTCCCTAAATCTTGAGGAAATATTGTTATATCTATGTTTCCTGACAGTTTTACTTCGTGATTTTTCATCAATGTTGGAGGGTATTTTTTTAAATATTTTCTATCAATTTATAATATTAATTAAGATTAAGAATATAGATGTTAGGGATCAATGATAATATTCTCAGGGAAGTAATCAAGAAAAAGACAAATGAAATATAGTTTATAGGAAAAGACAAAATCGGAACAACAAAGTTAGGGTTATGTTGATGCTAAAGCCTAAGCGAGGTTGGCTAAGCAGTAAAGAACACAAATGCCAAAACCAAAAAGTCGAAACTATTGTTAATTTAGCCGGCTTTCAAGAGACAAATTAATATGAATTCAATGGATAGAAAGTTTCAATTATGTGGACATACTTAGAGAATCGTATATGTAATGCAAACGTCATCGATTTATTTCCTACGAGACGAGTCTAATCACTAGTCTAAGGGGAGATTTGTAACCAAACGAAATCCTTAAAAATTGAACAGTACAAAACTGTTCCCACGTGAAAACACTTCAGCATGATGCTAATAATGAGATTTTAAAGAAGAGCTTACCTATTGTATCTAAAACTTATGGATCCTGGAATGAAATGAGAATTTTCAATAGTTTTTTCTTTTATAATCGAGTTCAAGTAGATGTGATGTGATTACATCAGGATATCTAAGGATACGATCTAATAGATTGTGGTATCAAGCAGGGGCGGACCCACATGGAGTCATGTGGGTTCAAATGTTCTCACAATTTTATTTTATTTATTTTATTTTTTTAACAACTACCCTCTCCAATTGCTAAATCCAATTTTCCAATAGTAGTCCACACTTGTAAAAAGCCCAAATTCAATCACTATATCCATATGCATAATCTCATTCCCATAATTCATTTACTCATTTACCCAAATCCAATCCAACTTATATAATGAGTTCCAATATTCCCAAATCAAATCCCAATTTTTTCCAAATTACCAATTGTCAAACGTGAGTCGTGACTCGTCTTTTCCACTTTTCAGTTTTCTCTTCGCTATCGACTCTCCACCGGGCCGTCCCTAAGCTAATCAGCCCCTGCTGCTATTCGACTACGAATTATGGTGAAAATTCTTACTTTTGACCTTACAGTTCGAAAATGTTTGGATCCGCCCCTGGTGTCAAGTAGTGTCAACGAGCAAGAATGTATCTATCTCAGGTGAGTCAAGAGATTCGGAGTGGGAGTAGATTAGTTGAGCTACAAGCTTTGAGTCCTCTAGATTTTTTGAAAATAGATTTTATGAAAAGTGATATTTTTGACAAATAGATGATTAAAAAATTTGAAAAACTATGAGTTCTTGTACAAAATTATTTTATTTTACAAATATGAGACTTTGAGTTTTAAAGAATTTGCACCGAACAGACCTAAGAATTCCCATTTCGATTTTAAGGGCATTTGTACAATATTGAACATAATTTTAAAAAAAAAACATCATAAAATGATAAAATCTATTAATTATTCTATTTAATTACGTCTAAACGTACTCAACATAATTTTATAGTGTTATGTTGCGTATGTGAAGATAGGGATATATATTTGACATAATAAATTAAGGTCAGAGTATAAAAAAAGGTTAATTAATATATTATGATTATTTTAATCTTTCTCTATAGATGTACATTAGTTTAAAATTTTTAGCTTCCGTTGGTAAAGATATTTATAAATGATTTAAAAATTCAATAAAATTTAATTCAATCAAACATAAATTTCAATCATACATTCATAGCTATTGCTCATCGTTCTTCCTATATTCGTGGGACTCATTACTATTTCTTTTTATAAATCATTTTTAAATTTATTAATACAAACTTAGTAAAAAAAGAATGACCTTTCAAAAACAATAAAAACAAGAGGAATTTGCACTCCATGTCATTTCTTGGCTTTGCATTTTTATGAATGTCACTTTTTGAAAACCTTTGCAAGACTGTCATTTTTGGACATTTTTGCCACTTTACAGAATTTAAACACCCTTCAAGTCCTTCATTAAATGATATTTGACTACATAAAAAAGTTGTATCAAAGGTGAAAGACGTCCCAAATTTTGAAATAATAAAAAGTGAAAAACCATGAACTATACACACCATAATTGGTCTCTCTCTCATTCAAAATCTCCTAACCCTAAAAAATAAATAAAAAAATCAAAAAATCAAAAGCCACTTCTTTCACATTCCAAATCTCAAACATCTATGATCACTACTCTAAGAGTGTGTTTGATTGTCATGGAAAATATCACCAAAAAAAGAAAAAGTTTTCCTTCTTTTGAAGAAAACAAAAACTACCTCTACCTAAGGAAAATATTTTCATTAAAAACAAGGAAAATTAGGCATATTTTTAAAATTTGGAAAATATTTTACAT